GCAAACACACCACCTTGCTCATGACGTGGTAGCACATTACGAATAATATTCGAACGTGTCAAAGCTTGATGAATCTCCATAGAAGCACCTCCTGGGTATGCAAATACATCCGTAACACCTTCCCTTTCAAGTGCCTCCACAAGAACATCACAACCCTTTCTGGGTTCGTCAGGGGCGAAACGGGAAACGAATGTTTCAGGTTCAGAAACGTCGTTATGGGTGGTAGTGGATATGACGACATTGGCAACGGCAAAACCACGACGATTATGTTGAGCGTGGATGAGATGAAGGGGTGAGGCTTTTTGTGGGTGATTGTGGAAAGAGAAGGTAGATCTAGGTAGAATGGTGGAAGATTTGGAGGAAGATGGAGGTAGGGTTTTGGAGAAACATGGAGATGGTGAGGCAGCAGCCGCCATTGTTGGTCGATAAAGGTGAGAGAAGTGAAAGGAAGAGGCAAAATGGCTATAAGAAGTGATGAGCGCCACGAAAATGTGTTGTAAGGGTCCTACATTGATTCAAATATAAATGGAAAACAATTTATAAGTTCAAAATCAAAAATGTCGTAAATGATACTATATCCTTTGTAATATTGATGTTATTATGGTTCAAAAATTACGTTACATCCTTTCGCTTTAACGAAAGATTAAATAGAAATATGTGATATAATATTATATATTAATTTAATATTTAATAAAAAATAAATTGATAAATAAAATTATAATATGTATATATGTAAAAATAAAAATTATGTGTATTCTAATATTTAAATAATAAAAATATTAATATCCAAAAATATGATTAAAAATATCTAAATGACATTTATGATAATTAAGAAATATATTTATGATTGGAAATTATGCATAATCTCACATCACCTTTCAATATGAGTCCTATTTTAAAAAATAATATTTTCATTTTTTTAATAAAATAAATTTTTTTGTCTTTTTAATAACATGATTACATGGTAAAGTATGAAAATAAATTGTTTGATTTTAGTTCTAACTTTTTTTTTTGTTGGCCATGTTCCTTTTTTGTAATTAGTTTGGTTGTTTTTTTAAAAAAAATAATGCAGTGAGTTTTTATTATTTTAATAATGTAAAATCAGATTTATATTAAATTCAGCAAGGAGAAGTTAGAATAAAATGTGGCTTGATTTAAATAGAACAACGATTTAAATGGATCTAGACAAATTTTAATAGGAAAAGACTTAACCCCTCCTATTCTATTTTTCCATAATCTCATAGTTGAACGACTAAATGGGGCTTAATTTTTTTTTCCTACTCAATAATTATATAAAATCATGACTTAAATAAAAGAGGACAAAATCTTTATAGGAAAAGACTTATTTACCCTACATCATGTGTGTAATATCGAATTAAAATTAATAAACTGAATTGTAAAAAAGTTATTAATTTATCCATAATAAGTTGTTGCTTTAGCGATTTTGATAACAGTTCTTTTTTCTTATTGGACTAGTTCTTAACAGTTTGAGGTTTTTTCTTTCTTTCTAAAAATGTGGTAACATATTATCCGATAGTAAATTAAATAATTATATTTATAATATTTTTGTATATATAGTTCTTGATTTCGACTTTGATTCCTACTTCTATTTCTGGTTGTATCAAATTCTTAGTTATTCTACAATATAAAGTGTTTGTTTTTAAGTAGATGTAACTTATGAACCATGTACATGGTTCATTTTGTTGGTCACCTTGTTTCTAAGTGATTTTTAATAATTTTTTAATATCAAATCTTAATTGTTAAACCGATAATAATCAATAATCGACAAATCAATAATCAACACGTCAATATTTTAATAATTTTATAACGATTTAACATCTCTATAAATCAATAGTCAATAAATCAAGTCGATTAATTTTAAAATTAAACCGTTCGATACACAACTATCATTCATTATCTCAAAGCTAATCGATTAGTTTGTCCTTCATGTAAAAAGATACTTTGAATCTAATACACTATCCAATTGTGGTCTTTGCATATTCGCTAGAAGTATTAGGTGATATATTACATTCAAGTTAGTGAGGGTCTATGAATCTTTTAGCTATCTTATCGTAACAAAAATTGAAATTTGCCAATTATTATTATTATTATTATTATTATTATTATGAGAACTACAAATTCAAAAAATAAACTATCCATAATCCACATACCATTCTAAATAATTTAATTACCATATTTATGGAAGAATCCATGCCTACCGCTACCAACAATCTCAAATAACTTTACATACTTTGTCATTCATACCTTACCGTCACAATTATTATTCTAAAATTCTGCATCATTAATTATTTTGGTGGAAAACAATTAATTGTTT